CCCAAATTACTAGAACTCATACAGCAATTCAGCAATGGGGCAGGATACAAAATCAATGCACAGAAATCAGTTGCTTTCTTATACACTAACAATGCAACTGTAGAAAGAGAAATTAGAGAAATGATTCCATTACAATAGCACCAAAAAATGTAAGATATCTCGGAATAAACCTAACCAAAGATGTAAAGGATCTATACTCCAGGAACTACAGAACACTCATGAAAGAAATGGAAGAAGACACAAAGAGATGGAAAAACATTTCATGCTCATGGATCGGAAGAATAAACATTGTTAAAATGTCTATGCTACCCAGAGCAATCTATACCTTCAATGCCATCCCGATCAAAATTCCAACGACATTTTTCAAAGTGCTGGAAAAAACAATCCTAAAATTTGTATGGAGTCAGAAAAGACCCCGAATTGCCAAGGAAATGTTGAAAAAGAAAAACAAAGCTGGGGGCATCACGTGCCCGATTTCAAGCTATATTACAAAGCAGTGATCAACAAGACAGCATGGTACTGGCACAAAAAACAGACATATAGACCAGTGGAACAGAATAGAGAACCCAGATGTGGACCCTCAACTCTATGGTCAAATAATGTTTGACAAAGCAGGAAAAAACATGCAATGGAAAAAAGACAGTCTCTTCAATAAATGGCGCTGGGAAAATTGGACAGCCACATGCAGGAGAATGAAACTCGACCATTCTCTAACACCATACACAAAAATAAACTCAAAATGCATGAAAGACCTCAATGTGAGACAGGAATCCATCAAAATCCTAGAAGAGAACGTAAGCAGTAACCTCTTTGACATCGGCCACAGCAACTTCTTTCAAGATACATCTCCAAAGGCTAGTGAAACAAAAGCAAAAATGAACTTTTGGGACTTCATCAAGATCAAAAGCTTCTGCACAGCAAAGGAAACAGTCAACAAAACAAAGTGGAAACCCCCAGAATGGGAGAAGGTATTTGCAAATGACACTACGGATAAAGGGCTGGTATCCAAGATCTATAAAGAACTTCTCAAACTCAACACCCAAAAAACAAATAATCAAGTCAAAAAATGGGCAGAAGACATGAACAGACACTTTCCCAAAGAAGACATACAAATGGGGGTGGGGGGATGAGTTAGCCTGGTGATGGGTGTTAAGGAGGCCATGTACTGCATGGAGCACTGGGTGTTATATGAAAACAATGAATCATGGATCACCACATCAAAAACTAATCATGTATTATATGATGATTAACATAGTAAAATAAAATTTTTTAAAAAGTAGAGGCTACATAGTGGGAAAAAAGCATACTGCTCTGTCAGGCTTACCTTGTAGTGTTCATCTTCCCAGCTATGTCATGAGGATATGTTAGAGATAAAAACAGTGAATGCACTTGACTAACAGTAACATCACTGTTAGGAAGGCATCTAGAGAATAACACATAAATAGTGACTATGTAACAGGATGAGACTAGGTACCTGAGAGACAGAGCTGTGCCATGGGGCCTCTGTAGGAAAGACAGGCTACAGAAAATAGTTGAGGGCAAATTCAGGTTCCAAGGCTGAATATGAGGAAAGGCAGAGGGAAAATTTACTTACCTGGGGTCTTGTTTTAGGAGCTCTGCAGCCTTTGCCATTACCAGCACTCCTTTCAGAAGAAGGAAACTGAAGAAGAGGAAATGCTGAGGTAGATAAAAACAAGCCATGGAAAAAATCAGCCTTTCTCTGAAGTTCCACGGCAGGAAAATCCAGGATGGGCTCTTCTTCATGCCTGTGTTGAAAAGATATCACCAACTTAAGTTTCCTTTACTCCTCCTGCACTGGGTAATAATTTCTTATAGATAGAAGTCCTGCACAATCCTGAAGCCCCTCTTTGTATGTGAGATACAGGAAGGGGTAGAACCAGCATTCTTCATTGGGAAAAGCACTAGGCCTGTCTGCCCCTTTTTATCTTTAAAACCTTGTCTCATCTAAGGGTAATCTGTTCTCCACTGTTAGAAAACCCTAGAACCATTTTATGACAATTCATTCAACATATATTAAATACCTATATAAGGTCAAACTGAGGACAGAAGACAAAAGACTCAGTCCTGCCCTAAAAAAAAAGTCACAATCTAGTACAGAGATCAACTCCTTATGTACATCAGAAATGTTGTGCCCCACTTCTAGAGATCAGATTCAATTAGTGTGGGGTAGGGATTAGACATCCTCATATTTTAAAACTTTCATAGGTAATTCTAATTTTCTTTTTTTAAATATTTTATAGTATTTTGCCCCCCTTTTTAAAAAAAATTTTATTTATTTATTTGAGAGAGAGAGAATGAGAGAGAGAGCATGAGAGGGGGAAGGGTCAGAGGGAGAAGCAGACTCCCTGCTGAGCAGGGAGCCCAATGTGAGACTCGATCTTGGGACTCCAGGATCATGACCTGAGCTGAAGGCAGACGCTTAACCAACTGAGCCACCCAGGTGTGTGGGTAATTCTAATTTTCAACCAAGACTGAAAAAAATTGGTGTTACGCAGTGGTTCTCAATGTGTGGTTTTCAGAGCAGCAGCATCAGTATCATATGGGACCTTGATTTACAAATGCAAATTCTCACCCCCCTCTCAACCTACTGAATCAGAAACAGTGAAATGGAGCTCAGAAACATGTATTTTAACTATCCCTCCAAGTGATTCTGATGCATGCTTAGGTTTATATAATATACATTTTATACTGGCTTTTGAAAAATTAGGACCCACAGTTAAAAGTATATTTTACATTACAGAGCATTAAATATACACATTTAGAATTAAAAACTTCATAAAACAATACCTAACTTTACTACAGGCAATGTACAAATACTGTTCTATTCCATTATATTTTAATTTTTTAAAAGATGTATTGATGGTAGATCAACATCCTTCATGGTTAAGTAAGGAGCACAGCGAACCCATCCTTCCACAGAAACAAATTCCTGGAAACATAGCTAAAATCAATAATTTTAGAACTCTAGAAATTAGCCAACCCCTCAGAACAAACTAACAATCATCTATCCAAAGAAATTACTGAACCTCAGTAAGACAGTAGGAACTGTGGTGTTTTAACTTGAGGCTATTCCCATATCCTCTCTCTTTGCAGCTCAGGAAATTCGCTAAACAAATAAACAGCAGAAAGATAAAAATAAACATTTTTTAAAAACTGGAAAGCAGGGGTCTGACACCAGAGCTATTACACTATGTTCTCTAAAGTGTCGAGTCTTCAGGGAGCCTGGATTGCTCAGTCGGTTAATCTGGTTAATTGGCTGACTCTTGATTTTGGCTCAGGTCATGATCTCAGGGTCCTGGGATTGAGCCCCGCCTCCCGCCCTGCACTCAGTGGGAGTCTGGTTGAGGGTTCTCTCTCCCTCTGCCCCTACCCCCACTGTGCCCTTTCTCTCTTTTTCAAATAAATAAATAAATCTTTTAAAAAAAATAGCATCCAGTGTTCAACAAAAAATTATATGAAAGGTAAAGAAACAAAACATATACCATATACACAGGGGGGAAAACAACAGAAAATCTCCCAGGGGGACCAGATGTTGAACTTAATACACAAAGACTTTATTTTTTTATACACTGTATAGTTTCAATGAATTAGACAAAGACTTTGAATCATTTATTATTAATATGTTCAGAGAACATATGGTTGAAAAATTCAAAGAAAGCATGACAACTATGTCTCACCAAAATAGTGAATAATAATAGAGAGACAAAAAATAATTTTAAAAGGTTCAAATAAATATAAATGCTGGTGGTGAAAAGTACAATAAATTAAACAAAAAATTCACTGGAAGGCTCAATACCAGATTTTAGCTGACAGAAGAAAGCATCAGCAAATTTGAAGACAGGTCAATTGTGAGCCATCAGGAAAAAAAAAAAAATTAAGAAAAATAAACAGGGGTGCCTGGGTGGCTCAGTCAGTTAAGCATCCAACTCTTGATTTCGGCTCAGGTCATGATCTCAGGGTTGTGAGATTGAGCCCTACATCAGGCTCCAGGCTCAGCAGGAAATCTGCTTCTCTCCCTCTCCCTCTCCCTATGTCCCTCCACACTTGCACTTGCACTCTCTCTCTCTTTCTCAAAAAAATAAATAAATCTTCTTTAAAAAAAGAATAATAAACAGAGCCTCAGGAACTTGTGGGACATCATCAAGTATACCAAAACATACATAATGGAAGTCCAAGAAAGGGAAAAGAAAGAATAGGGAAGAAAGAATATTTAAAGAAGTAATTACCAAAAACGCCCCAAATTTTATGCAAAACATTAATTTGCACATCTACAAAGCTCGATCAAATCAAAATAGGATAAAGACAAAGAGATGCAAATCTAGCCAAATCGTTGTCAAACTGCAGAATGTCAAAGACAATGAGAAAAACTTGAAAAAAGGGTTGGAGCAAGATGGTGGAGGAGTAGGAGGCTTAAATTTCATCTGGTCCCAGGAATTCAGCTAGATAGTTATCAAACCATTCAGAACACCTACAAATTCAACAGGAGATCAAAGAAAAGAAGAGCAGCAATTCTATAAACAAAAAAGCAACCACTTTCTGGAAGGTAAGATGTGCGGAGAAGTCCAGCTCGGGGTTGCCATAAACCGGGATCCGCGGCACAGTCGGGCCCCTGCTCTTCCAGCAGGGACCCAACAAGCGGCAGATCCGGGGAGACTCACCTTCTTCCCCCGGGAGGAGAGGCAGGGGAGCGCACCGCAGGGATCTGCTGGGTTTGAAGACTCCACCCAGAGTCGGGTGCCAGAGATAGAAA